GATAGCGATGATGAAAGCAAATGACAACATACTTGCATGGACAGTTTTGGCTTGATGTGGACCTCCGCAACAATGGGACACAACGTTTTTGGGCCGCCGTATGTTCACCGCGGGAAATGGCAGCGTCGGCGCCAGGGCCGGCGCGCGCGAAGCGCACTGGAGAAAGTTCGACATATGCAAATGACGAAGATCGCGCGAACGGCCCCGATGCGGCGCCGTTCGCCGCGACGCCATCGCTGGCTGCGCCAGCCTGACACAAGTGCGCGCGAGAGACTGCCGCGCCATGGCCGCGCTGACCGCGCACTCCCAAAAGACGGCCGCAAGGGGGAAAAAGCCGCGCCAGGTGGGGTCAGCTGGACTTCGGCTTTGTTTCAATTCGAATTACACTTGGGGGGGGTCATTTTTCGCCCCGGCCTCGTCAGAGACGAAGGCCGACGCCCGCTGGGAGCGGCGCGCTCTGCCCCGCGACCGCCACGTCGCGCAGAGCCTGCTGCATCTCGAGAATCTCGCGGCGAGCCGGAGGACCCTTCGGCGTGGGCATGGGCGCCCAGGGATCGCCGATCTCGCGATCGTAGGCCTTGACCACCTCGACCAATTCCTGATTCAGACGAACCTCGGGTTTCGCCGCCTCGGTGATATCCTCGAGGCGCTTGCGTTTGACGGCCCCGCCCTTCTCCCCCTGCGTCTTCGGGCGGCGGGCCAGGCGACTCCTGCGCCGCGCGCAGCCCGCCCAATTGCCGCGCTGGTTGCTGGCCGCGCGCCCATCCACGGCGTCGATCAGGCCCGCGCACAGGTGGGTGAACCATATCGCCATGATCACGAGAGTCCGCCAGCGGTGGTCGTTCGCGTCGACCTTGACCTGGCCGGCATAGAACATTAGCTTTCGTCGGGCATCGCCTCGTCCTCGTGGAAGCATCGGCCGCTCCATCGCGACCATGACCTCCGGCAGCTGCCCCCAGATCTCGTCGAGCCTCTCCACCGTGCCCGGGCCCACCCGGGCCCTCGATCGCTGTCATCTGGGCCTGGCGCCTGAGCGTGCCCAGGCTGAAGACTGCCCTTGGGCACTTCGCCCGCGCCCTCGGCGAGGCCGGCTGCTCCTTCTTGATGGGCGCGGGCATCTCTGCTCACTTGGCTGCAAGCGCCCGAGGAAGGCGCGAGAGGGCGACCGTGGGCTTGAGCTGAGAGAAGCCTCGCTCCAGAGCGGGTCGGTCGCACCCCCTCCCAGGGGCCCTGGGTCGAGACGGAGGGGGGGGGGTCCGCGCTGACAGAAGCCTGCAGAGTGGGCTCGCCGCTGCAACTGCCGCACTCTACCCTCGCGCTGCTGCCCGCGCCGCGGGCAGCGGGCAGCCGGCGGGTTCCGTCCGAGGCGAGGGGCGGGGCAGTCCTCAGCGACCCTGAAGTCGGAGATCGGGGACCTGCCAGCGCCCACGGGGCCGAGGTCGATGCCCCGCGGGTTGCGGCGCACCAGGCCGACCGATCAGTGTCGCGCCGGGTGGGCCGTCAGTCTCCGCTCGACCCTCTCGCCGTCGACGTCGACCACAGTCGCGGCGCTGCGCGGGTCGATCGTCGCGCCGATCACGTCGAGCCGCCTCGCTGAGGGCAGGGCCGGGCAGGCCCGCGGCAGCGCGGGGAACTCCGCGACGCCGTGGCCGGCGATGGTCACGGGCACCCAAGCATTGCCGACGGGGCAGGTGCGCCCGCAGATGCTCGAGGTGGCGCCCAGTCAACCTCCCCCTTGTGCCCGACGCCGTTCGCGGCCCGCACGAGGTAGTGCAAGTCGGGCATCCCTAGAAGGGCCCGGGCTGCGGCGGTGCCCACCAGACCGTGAGCTCCCCCGTCCTATAGGCTGAGGGACACGCGGAGGTCGTCAGTGACCTTGCAGCGAATGATGATCTCGCCCCACCGTTCGACCAGAAAGGCCTGACAGTCGACGCCCCCCCCCCATCTCGCCAGTGCGAGGGGCGAAGCCCATGCCATTGAACTCGGAAAGACCGCCCACGCTGGCGAAATAAAACGAGGCACCCGTTCCGGCACCAAGAACCCTGGTTGCGCCCGTCGCCTTGCATCCGCGGCCGGCCACGGCTGCCAGTCCGTCACTCTTCGAGCGGCGTGGCTTGTGACAAGCGTCCGCCCAGCGCCCATTCGCGCCGCATTTGGCGCGGCGAGACCTTTTCTTCAGATCGGATCCCGCCAACCTCTTGAATCCTGATTGCGCGCGTCGGCGGTCGAAAAAGTCGCGCTCCACCTTCTTTACCATCTTCAGCTGCCGAGACTCCTTTCACGTGCAGCGCCGTTGTCGCCCGTAGCGCTCCTCCACCGCGGCGGCGAGCGCGTCTATAACCTCGTGCTCGTCAAGGTCCTGGTGCCCCAGGGCCTCGAGGACGAATCCGCCTCGTCCTCCGGGGGCTCGGCCTCGTCTCCCAAGTCCTCGTCGTAGTGCGTCTCCAGCTCTTCCTCGGCGTCCTGGTGGTAGGTTCGAACTGGAGGAGGAGGGGCGGACGGCAGGATATTCTTCTCGGTCACGTCCATGCTCAAAACAGCGAGTCGCATACTGGCGAAGTCATGCTTGCCGCCCGCAACGTCCTCAAGATCAAACGACTGGGCTGATAACCCAGCTCCCTCCTCGAGGAACCGAGCGCGAACCTGATCCGGCAACATCAATCCACGTGTCTCGGCCTCGGTCACTTGGGCGTCGCGTCGGAGGACGTAATCCGCGAGCGTCTCTCCGCGCCTGATCATGTAATCGAACAGCGCCTGGTCCTGAGCTTCTCGTTGACGATCCCTCGGGCGCTCCCCGTTCAGGATAAACAGGTGGTCTAGGACCTTGTCGATCCCTGTCTCTACGTCGACAGAGCTGCGACTGACACGAAACGTCTGCTGCAACTCGATAGGCAAAGACTCCGCCACGCAGCCTGCTGGTCTGGTCGGTAGCCCGTCCTGGCCGTCCAGGAGTTTTTGAATCCGTGCCACTGAGGCGGGGGTCTAAAGTCTCGGCTTCACTGGTTCCGATCAGAGATGCCTGACCACCAGTCGTTGTTGGCGTATCCTGTCAATCTCCAGCCGCGCCACCAGCCGTCGAACGATTCTCGAGCCTGCTCCGAGCCAGCCTCGCCAATATCCGCACCGTCTGGTGCACTGGCCATCCCCGGCTGGCCGATGGCCCGTGGGTCACGCCCATCCTTCCATGGTCCAGCCTTATCGTCATCAATCTTCCCCGTCTGTGTTGTGGCCACTCCGCTCTGCAGTGCAGCTCGCTCTCTCCCACCTCCGTCTTCACCACGCTCTCCCTCGGCAGCTCCTTTTTCTCCAACCACCGCCCCGCTTACCAACTGTCTCAGTATGCTGGAGGGGAAGTGACGACTTGGGCTATTTTGGGGGGCACTGGAATGTAGGTCGGCAGAGCCAACACTGTCATGCAGGCACCGCGCGCCTAAGCCAAAGAGGCTAAGCACGGAGAGAGGGAAAGATAGAGTCGGCCTTGATTGGAGAGGACACGCGAGAGGACACAAGACTCTTCCGAGGGCCACGTTTCCACAGGAATGCAGGAGGCGTGGATCGCGAGGCACAGGCCACAAAGGTACCCTTGATTTGGCAGGGTCGACCTACTAATCCTGGCCGACTGGACACGACGAGGGGGGACCTCGGAGGGACGGGGGACACCTCGCGCTGCGGCGTCAGGCTGCACGCCTCGAGCACCATTTTCAGGGCGCCGGGCGTCGCTTTGCGAGCTGGCTCTCACTCTCCCCTGCGCTGGCCGAAGGTGTGGCGACTGCGCTGGCCCTGCACGCCGAGACTGGACACTGCAACTTGCAGCCATGCCATAGCCGCTTCGCGAACGGCGAATGCCACTCGCGAAACGGCGAACGCCATTCTTTCGAGTGCGAACGCCGTTCGCAGTCTCCCAGAATTCTTGGATACTAAGATGTTCAACCATACCACAGGAAGCTGCAACCTGTCTCCCCTCCTCCTATTCCTCCTCCTCCTTCTCCTCGTCCTCCTCCTCCTCTTCCTCCTCCTCCTCCTTCTCCTCCTGCTCCTCCTCCTCCTCCTCCACCACCTCTTCCGCCTCCTCCTCCTCCTCCTCCTCCTCCTCCTCCGCCACCTCCTCCGCCTCCTCCGCATCCTCCTCCTCCTCCTCCGCATCCTCCTCCCCCGGTTCCTCGGGATGTGTGTGTGTATGTTGCGGCCATCGCTTGATACGGCTGCTGAATCGATTGCCCACATCGCCAGCACCAGTTTCCACGTTTTGTATCAAGCCCAATGTTTGAGGAGGACAATTATCGTGTTGGGAGGAAGGGATTGGGGCGATGAAGGATACGAGCAATAGCATGCGGATGCAATGAACGATACCTTCGGCCGCCTACGGGTATTGAAATCCTCATTTCTCCCAACCCCATGATCCCAACCCGATAGTTGTCTTCCTGAATGTTTCATCATGTGGTCATGGCAGCGGCGGGGTCAACATCCAAAAAATGGAAGCCCTGGCTATCAGGTACTCTCGGGCATGGGCGCGGCGGACCCTCACTCTTCCTTTGAGGCCGGTCGTGGTGCTGGAAGTCAAACCCAAACCCAGCATCGAATAATCATCAATCCAGCACATCGCTTGGTGAACCGGTCGAGCCAGAACGAGTGAGAACTACGGTATCGAAAGGGCCTGAAGTGTCGTACTCGGCATAGAACTGCTCTACACCTCCGCCTGCACATGCCAAGGCAGAGTGGCTGACCGCCAGGAGCACCGCTACTGAGTACGTGACGCGGAAGAGGATGTGGAGGACAGAGGAGAAAGATGATGAGGAGGAGGAGGGAAAGGACGGAGGAGGAGGGGGAGGAGGGAGAGAAAGAGGAGGGAAAGGGCGGGGGAGGAGGAGGGAGGAGAGGAGGAGGAGGAGGAGGAGGAGGAGGAGGAGGAGGAGGAGGGGGAGGAGGAGGAGGAGGAGGAGGAGGAGGAGGAGGAGGAGGAGGAGGAGGAGGGGGGGAGGAGGAGGGAGACGAGGAGGTGCCTCCAGGAAGTAGGCGCGCTTCCCGCCCGGCGCGGACAGCCAGCCTCGCGAGCGGCGAACAGAGCCACATCCCCAAACATGCTCGCGTCGTGGCAACATCACGACGGGGGGGGGGGGGGGGCGATGTTCGACACCCCTGGTGGGCCCGTGGCGGAGAGCCTGTCCTGGGGAAGAGGTCCATACCTCTGGGGGTCCACGCCGTGAGAGAATCGAGGCGCTGGAGACCTGGGCACATCCGTGGCCTCGCGGTCTTTGCTCCCAGGCGCGACCCCACGGATGCGCGATCCCGCGCGCAAGCCCGCCTCGTATCCAGGGGGCCGCGGCCGAGGAGCTCGGGCAGCGGGCCCGTGGACACTGGAGGAACAAACAGCGGCATGGACAGGACCATTCGGCGGTCCGCGGGCTTCTTGGATGCGTGCTGGACTCTTCTCCCTGGTGCGCGGAGCGCGCCAGGGGCGGCGCTGGAGGCGCCGCCAGAGGGCACCAGCGCAGATCCGAGAAATCCGCGCGGAGCGCCAAAAGTGGCTGGTTATGGCGTTTTGAGAGATGGATGTGTCTCCCGCCCGCGGCAGCCGCTCTTCTCGGCCCAGTTCTTCTTGCCCACGTGCTCCCAGAACTCTGTGAATTTCTTCAGGCCAGAGGTCCGGTTGCTGTTGGCGCGCTTGTTCGCTGGACTCTTCTTGACCGCCTCGAAGTACTCCGGACTTGCCATGGCAGCGTAGGTCTTGCCGTCCTCTCGGGCGGGTGGTAACGGGGGGTGACCCACATGGGGGGTGAAGACAAGGGTCCTCAAGGGGCCCCTTACGGCCCCGTTTGGGCCCTGGCTGGCACCAAAAGGGACCCTACCACTATTTGAACCACCCCCCATTACCACCCGCCCGATCCTCCATGAAGAGGAGCTTCAGGCTCTTCACGTATGTCTTGGTGCTGGCCTCCTTCATGAACATCGACTCCATCATCCACCTCTCGAACGTGAAAGCGACGTCCGGAAAGATCTTCTCGTCCTCCGGGGAGGCGTCCGCGAAGTCCTGAAACGACATGGCCCCAGACCTCGGGCAGGGCAGCAGCACGCCACCACCGCCCCTCGGCAGTGCTCCCCTGGGCCCTGGGGACGGCGTGCACTGCCACGCGGCCCCCGATAGAGGAGGGCCTGCAGCCATCGTGCTGCCGTAAGGAACGCCGAGCACAGTGGAGGCCAGCCCACAAGAACCCTTCCACGAGAGACCCAGCCCTGAGACCCCAGGACGCCCATGTGGTTTTTTTGGGTGTGGGCACGCCCCGCTCTCCACTGCAGAACCATCGAAACCCAGGAATCCCAGGGCACCCTGGAGGCGAGCGGTGTGCTCCTTGGCCTGGGCCTCCCCTGCCGGGCACGAGCCCACTCTTGGGGGGGGGCCTCCTGGCCACGGGGCCACGGCGAGCCCCCCCGGTCCCGACCGGGCTCCCCGATCTATAGAGCCCGAGGAACGGCCTGGGCACCGGAGCCCCTCCCGAGCCCAGGAGGGGTCCGCACCTCAGCGCCTGGGCGGCACGTGCACCGGGCAGCCGCAGGCGTGAAGCCGGTCCCTCCGGGCCAGGCGCTCTCAAGACAGGCGGGGGCTCCGGGGATGTCTGCTGACTCGGAGCCCCGCGCGCGGGCGCACGATGCCCCAGCGTCGACCGACGGAGCCGCAGGAGCAGGGCTCACAACTGGTCGCGGGGCCCAGATAGCCCTGGTCTGGTCAAGGATGCCGGCCGTGGCCCAGAGGACACCCCTGGACAACTCGAGGGCACGGAGACGAAGTCGACTCGAATCGGCCTCGCCCGCGCAGGGGCGCACGCCGGCGCCATGCAAGCATGGGACCGCATCGGGTCGCCAGAAAGTCGGACTCGGATCGAGCTGGCCAAGACCGACGTCGAACTGGATCGATGGGATCAAGATGGACCCAGCCCTGCTGCCCTGGGGTACACAACCCCACGGGCCCAGGATGGCTCTGGCCCCGGGACGTCGTGGTGCAGAGCTGCTCCTATGAGAAGACCAAACAAACGGCATGAGCTTAACCTTTCGGAGGCCCGCGCGGGTCTCCGAAAGTTTTTTCGTTACCGCATAACTCAGCCCAGCCGCTTCTCTCCAGCTTGGGAAGGGCCTGGAGGACGACGAGTGCACGAGGGAGAAGAGGAAACCGAGGCCGAAGAGGAAGCAACGACGACCCGAAAGCGCAGAGACTACAGAAGGGCTGCTGAACTGAGGAATGCAATTTGCAGTAACTTGCGTTCCGCGCGGATCTCCGAAAGTACCCAGTGCGGCTGGATCGAACAAAAGATACAGCTATCGCCGCTCCCCTGACATCTGCTGGGGCGCGTTCTAATCAGGACTTCGAGGCGAACCCAGCCGTAGCAACCAGGGACGGGCAGCGATGTCGGTATCCCTTGCTTCTCTGAACCCGGCCAACCGACGAGATGAGTTTCCCAGTGCGCGGCCCCCAAAGTCCTGACACCTTCCCCGGGGCAAATGAAATTCACTCCGGATCCGTGTTCGACGGCTGTGGAGCTCGCAAGACCGGCCCCGGGGACAGACATCTGAGAATCGAAAGAAAACGACCACATCCTGAAAACGCCCAGAGATCTAAAGAAAACGCCCATATCCTGAAAGTCACCCATCGGAGATCCGGGAATGACGCGCGGCCGCCCCGATGCGCAACGCGCAGCCCGTGGCGTGCTGACACGGAGCTCAGCACGGAGATGGAAGACGCACGTCTGGCGCGAGATGTTCGCCAAAAACTGTGGGCCAACACGCTGAGCCAGCAGGCAGCGTGTTAGCGCGGACGTTTTGGAGACGGCACGTTCTGCGCCTCAAAACGGGCGTATCGGGGCAACCGCATTAGGAGGCCAACATATTGGCACCAACACCAACAGGGGATGGCGTCTCCGCGGGGGAGGGTGATCTTACATTTGGGTGCTGGTGGTAACTTCAGGGCCACCCAAGAACCCCGCACATTACCACCATCACAGAGATCGGGATCATCCTCCCTGGATGTTGGTGCACCTCTAGGCCTCCGACGCATTGCTGCTGTTGGCCAGCCTCGAACTTACCCTTATCCCTGAGATCGGCAAGCCCAAGGCGATGACAATACCATATGGATGCGTCCTCGAACATCGATGGAACCCTTCAGATCGGCATCGAGGTGAGGCGATGCCAATCATAGGGTTGGGAACATGCTCCAGGCTGGCAAGCTCGGCTACAAGCAAGAGTGACCCTAGGCAAGAGTGACCTTTAGTGCGCGGCTTCAGGGGAGCGCGGGAGGGCCAAACCCGAGCAGGAGAGCCGCTGCTATCGCATCGCATTCAGCCATCCGGGGACCCCCGTGTGCCCGAACCAAAAGTGAATCCGGCGAAAGGTCATTCTTGCGTGTAGCCGATAAGCTACAGTGCGGGCGCGGCCGCAAGAAACCCTCGCAAGAAACCCAACCCTGAAACTCCGCGCGCGAGGTGCACCTGAGGGGAACCCCGGAACACCCTGAACGCAGCGGCTTCTTGAACGGCCGCGGGAAGTCAACGCGCAGCGCGCGGAGCGAACAAACCGAGGGTACCCTGACGAAAAACTCATGGTTTCTTGATGCGCGCCCCCACTGTACGCCGCTGTTTCGTCCCTGCCCTGTGGACTCAGGCACCCCTCGCGCACATGCCGGCCCGGCCCCTTCGCGCGTGGTGCGGCACCCGCTCGCGGCGCCGTGGGCCGCGAGGGGCCCTGGCCGGCCGCCTCCGCGCCGCCCTGCGCTCGAGCCCGGGCGTCTTGATGCTGCTCGGGCGGGCGATCCGGGAATGGAGCCGACACCAAGTGGGTAACCAAATTTGGGTCGCCTCCGTCCCCGCTCCCTTTAGTAATTAAACCTCCCCTTGGTGAAAACGGCCTGGGACCGAAACCGACGGACCTGGACCCGCAAAAATGACGGCCGCGACGCCCTCTCGCGAACCGAAAACGGCCAATTCCTTAATCGACGTGTCAGGGTAGGAGGCCTACCCACCTCCGAGGTCCACGAAACGCCGAGGAAAAAGGTCGCCGGGCTTCACCTGCACACAGCCTCCGAGGCCCTCAAAGGGGCCCCTGGTCCACGACCCACAGACGGTGGCGGCTCGGGCAGCTGGGGCCGCCCGCGGGCGAGCGGGGCTGGAGCCGAGCCAGTGGGGCGGCGCAGGCAAGCGGGTCTTACGCGAGGGGGAGGAGGAGGAGGAGGAGGAGGAGGAGGAGGAGGAGGAGGAGGAGGAGGAGGAGGAGGAGGAGGAGAGGAGAGGAGGAGGGGGAGGAGGAGGAGGAGGAGGAGGAGGAGGAGGAGGAGGAGGAGGAGGAGGAGGAGGAGAGGAGGAGGGAGGAGGGAGGAGGAGGAGGAGACGTAGCGACCTTACGCGGTGTCTTGCGCGGGCCGCCCGCGCGGCGCGCCTCCTTGGAAGCGGGGGCGCTCACGCGCGACCTGGAGCGAACAGCTTGCGCGCCAGCGTCTGTGAAGACGAGCCCGCTGTCGTCCGTCACTGAGAGTTGCCGAGGTGCCGGCCTGACGTCGTCCAGCTGTGTCTTCTGCTGCCTCGGCCTGCATGTCAGACGTGTCGGATCCCTCTCTCGGTCTTCCCCCTCTCAGCCTTCTTTCCCCTCTCCATCTCTTCCCCTCTGGCTCGCGCTCGTAATACCCCGCGCCGCGCACTTGCAAGACTAGCCGACAGCAGGTCTCCGAGGATTGTGTTTGCAAAGCTCGGAGCGCTTGATCCGTGATTTCGGTATCCTGGGGCCCCTCTTTGGGCCCTGGGGCCATCAGAAAGGGTCCCGGGGCGACAAACTAGTTCCCGGGGAAGTGGTCGGGACCTCTGAAAATCGCGAATTGGAGAAAATCAAATCACTGGATGTCCGGACGGGGCGAGCGATCGGGAAAGGATAGGACGCAACTCCAGGGAGGTCGTCCTAAGAATGGCAAAAGGGCACCAAGCCCGATTATGGGGCCACTGGGCCGAAGTAGGCTGGGTTATAAGCCAGGGGTTGGGCCAGACTGCGCAGGAAGAATCCGGATGGAGCGGGACTAAGCCGGATTGGACCGGCCTCCGACCACGGATGAACCAGCGCCCATGCTGAAGTGAGCCTCCAAAGGATGAGACATCCTAAGAGGGGGTCCGATTGGGGCCGCGGACAAAGAGCACAGCGATGCTGTCACAGACCTCCTCGCGTGGCGAAAAGTCACGGCGCAAAGTGTGTCCTCGACTTCGGCCACTGGGGGCCCCCACCGGGCCCTGGGACTGTCGAAGAACCATCGGGATCAAAAGCCGGTCCCAGGTAAAGGGTCCAACCCTCCGGGGGACCACGTTGTGAAAGAAAACGATGCGTCGGAGGTTCGAGGTCGCTATACCACACGGGACGCCCAATAAGGAACGAGGGAGCGAAGGGGCTTTTCCCAGTCACGGCGAGCCACGAATAGGTTCCCAGGCTTGGACCGGAGGAACGGGACGAAAACCAGAGCCCAATACGAAGTGATCCTTGTCCCAGCGTCTTGACTCTAGCGATAACCGTCCTTCGTTTCTGCGCGTTCTTGCCTGCTTGGCGAGCCCTCGACGCCACGGCTGGATTTGCCTCGAGATCTTGGTCAGAAGGCCCCCCCAACACACACTCCAGAGAGGTCTGGGTAAAAGAGGTGTCGGTATCCTGTGGCTTCCCCGTGCGCGGACCCCCGACGTCCTTTCGCTTTTGCGCAGCATGGGCACACGTGATGCCCAGGGGTGTGGACCCCTTCTGAGGCATTGGTCACTCATCCTGAGTCGACTTTGACGGCCCCCAGCTTGGGGAAGGGCCCCCGGCGGACAACAATAGCCAGCAACTTCCTTCGCGGTCTTTTCTCAACATTAGGGGGGTTGGGTAAGAAATCTGGTCCAGGTTTCGGGCAAGACCCTGCATAGTGTGTCCTCCAGCGATTCCTCCTGCAACGCTCTCCTCCTTTCCTCCTGCTCCTTCTCCTCCTCCTTCTCGTCCTCCTCCTCCTCCTCCTCCTCCTCCTCCTCCCCCTCCTCCTCCTCCTCCTCCTCCCCCTTCCTCCTCCTCCTCCTCCTCCTCCTCCTCCTCCTCCTCCTCCTCCTTGAGAGACATCCATTAAACATTGCACATTAAACATTGCAATAAGTCCACGACTTGAAGGCGGGTGGTTTTCAAAATGTGAATCTCGCCTTACGGGTCGTTTTCAAAATGTGGTTCTCGCCTTGGCGCCGCGATTATTCGTTTTCAAGTTTGCCAGAGCTTCGCAGAGTAAGGGCGGGTGGTTTTCAAAATGTGGCTCTCGCCTTAGCGCCGCGCTCATTCGTTTTTAAATATTTTCAAGAGCTTCACGGATTAAGAGCGGGTGGGGTTCAAAATGTGGCTCTCGCCTTCGCACCGCGCACATTCTTTCACGGATTCGCATGGTCAGCGTACCAGAAAAGGTAGTTTGGAAGGATGCAGGATTACGCGGGTGCAACCGTTATGCTGATTCGCGGTGTTGAAGTCCCAGAAACGGCCGTCTGGCACGATTCCAGATCGTCAGGACGCAACAGTCAGGTTGATCCGTGGCGTGGACATCCTGCGAACGATGTTTCAGCATGCTTCAAGGACGTCAAACACGGTTGTCTTCCAACGGGGCAGTTCCCTCAATGGAAATGAACCGTTGTATGGGGCCTGTGAAGAGGGAGCTTGGAGGGAGGGTTAATTCCAATATCGTTGATGACTCTTGGGTATAAACTGGTCCTCCTCATCCTCCTCTTCCCCCTCCTCTGGGCAGCCACACTTGAATCCTATTCTTACTGCCAATCGGTTTAGTCCAACAGAGGCGGGCACGAACGAAGCAACCCCCACAAGTGAACACCTCGTGGCCCAAGTCCATTGTGAGCAAGGGTGAAGTCCACATCATGTCGCCGCAAATTCTCCCTTCCTTCCCGAGGGTGCCACCCCCCAGGAAATCCGCAGCGGTGCCCCTCCAGCGCAAATAAGGCCCCTGCTCCTGTGCCTTCCCCTCCTCATCCCTCCTCCTCCCTCCTCCTCCGCCTCCTCCTCCTCCTGTTCCTGCTCCTGTTTCGGCTCCTCCCCAATCCCTCTCATCCTCCTCCTCCTCCTCCTCCTCCTCCTCCTCCTCCTCCTCCTCCTGCTCCTCCTCCTCCTCCTCCCCGTGTTCATCCTCCTCCTTCTCCTCCTCACTCCTCCTCCGAGTTCCTCTCCTCCTCCTGCGCTCCTCCTCCCTCCTACCACCTCCTCATACCGCCTCCTCTTCCCCTTCTCATCTAATCATTCCTCCTCCTCCTTACCGCTCCTCCTCCTCCACCTGACCGTCCCTCCTCCTCCCCATCATCATCCTCGCTGCTCCTCCTCATCCGCCTTCTCTCCTCCTCTTCCCTCCTCCACCTCCTTCTCCTCCTCCGCCGTGTCCCCTCCTCCCCTCCCTCCTCCTCCTCCTCCTCTCTCCTCACCTCTCCTCCATATTTTCCTCCTCTCCTCTCCCTCATCCGTTCCTCTCCCCCCGCCTCCCCCTCCTCTCCGCCACTCCTCCTCCTACGCTCCTCCTCGCTCATCCTCCTCCGAACGTCTACTCCTACTACCTACTCCTAACTTCCTACTCCTACTTGCCAACTCCTACTCCTACTCCTACGCGCCACTCCTCCGACTACTACGCTAACTATTACTATCACTACTACTACTACTACTACTACTACTACTACTACTACTACTACTACTACTACTACGACTACTACTACTACTACTACTACTACTAGTACTACTACTACTAACTAACTAACTAACTAACTAACTAATTAACTAACTAACTAACTAACTAACTAACTAACTACTACTACTACTCCTACTCCTACTCCTACTCCTACTCCTGCTCCTACTCCTACTCCTACTCCTACTACTACTACTACTACTACTACTACTACTACTACTACTACTACTACTACTACTACTACTACTACTACTACTACTACCACTATTATATCTACTACTACTACTATACTACACTACTACTACAACTACTACTCTACTACTACAACACTACTACTACTACGACTACTACGACGACTACTACGACTACTACGACTACGACTACTACGACTACTACGACTAACGACTAACGACACGACAAACGACAACGACAACGACTACGACTAACGACTTTACACTACGACTAATACGACTACGACTAACGGGATCATCTGGCTTGCCCGCCCACCAACTACTACTACTACTACTCCTTCCCTTCATCCTCCTCCTCCTCTTCCTCCTCCTCCTCCTGATCATCAGCATCATCATCATCATCATCATCAGCATCATCAGCATCATCATCATCATCAGCATCATCAGCATCATCATCACCATCAGCAGCAGCATCATCATCAGCATCATCAGCATTATCATCATCGTCAGCATCATTACCATCATTATCAGCATCATCATCGTCATCATCATCATCATCATCATCATCAGCATCATCATCATCAGCATCGTCATCATCATCATCAGCAGCATCATCAGCATCATCATCATCAGCATCATCATCAGTATCATCACCATCAGCATCATCATGATCAGCATCCACATCATCAGCACCATCAGCATCATCATCCTTTTGACAGCCACGTGTGCATCCGATTTGGTTCAGCAGGGGCGGGTACGAGCGAAGCGAACCCCAGTGAATCCCTCCTGGTCCAAGTCCCTAGGCAGCAAAGATGAGATCCAAAAAATGTCGTCGCAGTTTCCCCTTTCCTTCCCCGAGGGCGTCCCCCTCCAGACAATCCGCAGCGGTGCCCCTCCAGAGCAAAGGTG